TTTAGAGGTCCTCATGGAGGAAATGGTATTTTAGATAGGCCTAGGAAATTGTGGGGTTGATCCCATTTTAGGCAGCCTAAGGAAAGTGTGGGAGAAGGTCATTTCCAACAGCAACAGGAGCTGAAGATGAGATGTAGGAATTAGACAAAATCATGTAAAGAAAAACAGCCTAAGCTCTGGAATTCAACTGCTTGCTTGGGTTTATTCCACTTGTGAATTTGGAGTTGTACAGACCCTCTCAATATTAGCTATACTAGTTAACTTGGGTTAGTTAGAGCAGACCATATCTAAAGCAAAGTATTAAGTGGTAAGGGCAGAAAGGTAAGTAGGAATTGGTAGGAAGCAGGCCATAAAAGGTCTCAAATGCTACAGGGTTTGTACTTTATTTAGAAGAAAATATGTGGATCTAATGAGTATGAAAAGTTGTATTACTCAAATGTTAAAATATTGGAATGTTTATGGTACATGCCTATAATCCCAGCAGCTCTGGAGGCTGAGGCAGGAGGATCGAGAGTTCAAAGCCAGCCTCAGCAAAAGTGAGGCACTAAGTAACTCAGTGAGACCCTGTCTCTAAATAAAATGCAAAATAGGGCTGGGGATTTGGCTTAGTGATTGAGTGTCCCTGAGTTCAATCCCTGGTACCCCCCCCCAAAAGAAATAAATAAAATATTGGGATGTTTATACTTAATCATCCATAACATGTTAATTCTTGAGTGTCCTACAATACACACATATAATTTTTAACTGAATCATAAGGTATATATTTTGCTCTTCATTTTTATCAAAAATTTTTTTAATGTGGTGCTAGGATTGAACCCAGTTCAGGCATGCGAGGGTATTGCCCTACCACTGAGCCACAACCTCAGTCCATTGCTTTTCATTTTTTGCTGTGATACCTAATAAGCATTTGCCCAAGTTACTGCATTGCCTTAATTGTACTCTTAGGCACTTTTGGAATATACCCTGGAGTGAATGTTCTAGCTGTTGAAGGTTTTTGAAGTGTCATCATCAGGGCTAAACTTTAAGAATGGTATTAGGTCATGAAAGTTCAAGAAGCAAGAACAGGGAGAAAATATGAAGGCTGATACAAACACTTCATCTCATTTAATTCTCTTACCACATTTATGAGAAAGTATTTTTATTTTCTGGGTAATAACATTGAAGCACGTAGAAGTTAATTCATTTGCCCAAGTCCACACAGCAAGCTGTCCAGTTTTTAAACTTGTCACTGGACTTGAAAGCTGGTTCAATGAACCATTTTACTGAACTGCCATACACATTGGTGAACAGAAGGGTAAATGGAAGATAATGAAGAAGACCTGAATTAAACTAGAAACTGCAGGAATGGCATAGAAGGAGGCAGGATGTGGGAGATTTTATGCTTATAATAGGAGTCTATTGACTGTGATCTCTGGAAGGTAACAGTTCAGTGTTAGTAAAATGACAGATTTTGAACCCAGCTTTACTGGTGGTAGCTTTGTAACCGTCATTTGCCATCTCTGTAAAGCCAGATAATGTCCTACTTTGCAGAGTGTAATGATGATTAAATGAGCTAATGTATGTAGACCCTACAAGTGTGAGTGCCCTTTCCCAGTGGCAGTTATTTTTCTGTGGAAGAGCATATCCATCTCTGGGTGCTTTTTTGCAGAAAGTGATTCATCCATCCCCAAGTGGTGATGGATGAGTTTTAAGGAGGCTGTAAATCTATACCCCCACTTCTTTCCCACTCATGTGAGAATCTGTTTCAGTGAGGCTTGTGTCTCAGGTATGTGGGGAAAAGGTGAGAACCCTTTCCATTGTGTTAGAATTAATGATGAGTCCCAATTGATATAGAAAAAATAATTATGGTTATTTCATCTTATGCTCAGATAAATGGAGGTGTATGGTGAGATTTGAGCCAGAATTGTGGATTTGTACTTCAGGTTGTCTCCTCTAGTGTGTAATTGTTTATCCTCTTCCTTCTACTACATTCAGCAGAAAATTTGTAGATTGTTCCCAAGGTTGGAGATAATAAATGTTAAAGTACCTGAAACATAGTAGCTATTCTGGACATGGTAGTTTTTGTTTTCAGGAACATGAGAGGAAGAAAAGGATTTACAGAGTTCAGCTTTGTAGCTATTGACTTTGACAAACAGCAATGGAACATTGGTGGGGCCAGTTGAAAATTGGAGATGGCCTGGAGGCAAGATGGGGACTGTGGTCAGGGGAGTGCCTAACTTGGTCTGCAGGTCTCAGCCCTGCCTGTGGGTAAGGGTTGGATTGCTTTTAGCATAGAGAAAGCAATGAGAACAGATGACCCCAAGATAAACTGGGAGTGCATCAACCAGAAAGGAACTGGACAGTTGCCTATATCTAAGATGCTGTTTTTTTTTTCCCTATAACCGAAACACAAAATTAATTTTTTAAAATTAAAAATTTCTTGAAGCAATCCTTACCCATTCCGTATCCTCTAGATTTATGATTAATTAATTATATTTTCATTAAAAGTGAAAAGCTGCTTGTGACCAGCTGAGTTAGTTAAAAATACAAATATTGTAGGATCTTGAATCAACTTGAAGTCTAGGGGAGTTTTAAGGAGGCTGTAAAAGATGTTATGAAAAGAGGAAAGAATGAAGACTGAAACAGCCTGGGGTTTTGGCAACAAGGAACTCTCTGATTTTGAAAGTGTGATTTCCACAGGGTGATTGCTTGGAGGGCACATTACCAGTGCACTAATGAGCAGTGTAATAGCAGCCTGTACTGGTTGCATTTGTCATTAAATCCCCCAAACAAACCTCAGGATGTTATTACCACCCACTTTCCCTTACAGGTGAGGAAAGTTATTTTCTTATGGGCTAAGAAGTATGCCCAAGGCCACACAACTTAAGTGCCGGAGCAGGAAGCTGAACCCAGACCCCTCTGACAGCATGGTCTATGCTTCTGTCTTCAGATCACCATCAGTGACACCATCAAAGCAAAATAAGGAAAAAAGGATTAGTTCAGAGGGTGGCATAGTTGAGAAGGTTGGGATACTGTGTGTGCTCACACTGCTGAGGATCATAAGTTGTCAGGTTTTGCTTTTCCCTTTATTGATAAGGAAATAGGCCTAGAAGGATAAGTAACCTCAACCTGGGTCACACAACTGACTGTGTGGAGCTGAACCAAGATCCCAGATCTGATGTAGCTCACCTTTAAGTACTGGAATTCTTTCATTCTCACTTATTACTAAAATGTTACAGTAATATGTTGTGAACCATCGTCTTCAGCCTTGATCCCTCAGAGAGTTGTTTAGAGGACCAAGTAAGAGTGATAAGGGCTTTTGTTTCATGTTAGGTTGGATTTTTAGGTAACCACTAAAAATTATTGAGATGCAGTTCACAAGCATACACACCTCACCATTTCATTGGTTTAATTATATTCAGAGATGTACAATCATCCCCACAGTCAATTTTAGAACATTTTCCTTCCCTCAAAAAGGAAAGCCTCAGTCACTCCTCTCTGGTTTTCTCCCAGTCCCCCAGGTTCTCAGTCACCCCTAGGCGATCACTAACTAATCTTTCTGTTCTAAAAGGTTTGTTCTGTTCTAGACATTTCCTGCAAATGGAATCATAGGATGTATACTCTTTGTGTCTAGCTTTTTTCACTCAGCATATTTTCAGGGTTTATCCATATTATACCACCAGTGTACCAATCAGTACTTCATTTCTCTTGTTACTGGTATTAGCCTTTTCTTCAAGGAAGCTGCATCCTTGGTTCAAGGAACCTGCTTCCTGCTTCTTTTAAGTATTTTTATTTTTCTTTTGATCCATATTCTGTTTAGTAGTTGGCATTGTATTGTTGGTACATACATTTATATTCTGTTTAGTAGTTGGCATAGGTACTGTTGGTACATACTTTTCTTTATATTAGTATGTATTTAATGGATCTTATTTGGGAAGTTACAAATTGTTATTATTTATTTTTGATGTTCACATTCTTCTATATTTGGCCCATGAGGGCTGCTTTAGATTGGTGTCTGTCATTTTGACATTCTATAATTAGTGGAACACTTTCTTGCTTTCTGATGCAGGAAGATATTCTAGGCTTGTCTTCTATTTTCCTTCCTGTAATTAGCCTTTTCTCTAAGGAATCCTACTTTTAAATATTTTTATCCATGTACTTATCCATCTACCTGTCAATCTATTAAAAGCCACAAATTTCTTCTCTTCCTCTCTTTCCAGCCTAATACCACAAGGTACATTCTTCCTCCTCCTATATTTTACTTTCTTTCAAAAGTGAGGAACCTAGCTGTCATTACCATCAGTATGTTTATAACTTTGTTCAAGCCTAGAATTGCAAATAACCTAGAATTGCAAATTCACTGCAAATAACCAATCTAGCTAGAATTGAATGTGTACAGTGAAATGCAGATTTTAAGTATACAGTATGAGTTTGAATAAAGGATACATCTAGATAATCCATACTCTGTCAAAATATAGAACATTTCCCTTACTCCAGAAAGTTTCCTCATGGTCCTCTCAATCAAAGTCACCTTCTGTCCCCCTTCCAGAGGCATTCACTGTATTAAAACTAACCCTGCATTAGGTTAGTTTTGCCTGTTCCTGAATTTTAAATAAATGGTATCGTATAGTATATCTTATTTTGTATTTGCCTTCTGTCACTTAGTATATTTGAGATTTGTTGTGTATATCAGTATTTGTTCTTCATTGCTGGGTAGTATTGCATTGTACAACCTTCCAGGAATTGGCCATTTTTATGACCTACTGTATTATGTAGATTCTTCGAGGGTAAACAAGCTATGGAAACTCATCACATGGGGGCTCTCTGTGAGTGGTAACTTAGAGTGATGGGTAATAAGTACCACCTGAAACTTCAACTTTGCTCATAAGCCAAGTAAAAAGGAAAACAATGAGATTTCAGATTGTATGGCTGCTCTTGACATCATATGTAGATATGTGTGCCGTGCCAGTTGAAAACCAAGTTTCTGATAACAGATTTGATGCTTCTCCCCATCCTGCTAGAAAGATGACGACATAGAAGAAGGAGATCTCCCAGAGCACAAGCGACCCTCAGCACCTGTTGACTTCTCACAGATAGACCCTGGCAAGCCAGAAAGTATATTAAAGATGACGAAAAAAGGGAAGACTCTGATGATGTTTGTCACTGTATCAGGGAGCCCCACTGAAAAGGAGACAGAGGAGATCACCAGCCTGTGGCAGGGCAGTCTGTTCAATGCCAACTACGACGTCCAGAGGTAAAGCACCAACAACCTGTGGAAAAAAATCTCAGGCTGTGCTAGGGCATTTTCTGGGGCTTTAGCAGGGTATCACTCTTGGCATTCTTCCCAAGGGACTTAGACCTTTCCTCTCTAGGATTTATTTTGAATTAAAAACAAAAATTCATTATTAGTAAGTTTCTTTGTTTGCTATCACACTTAATCTTTAAGTTTTGTTTATCATTGAATCTTTAGCTTTTACGTCATCTGATTTAAAAAGTTGTATGGTTTAGCCTCTTGAGGAGACAGTCAAGCAAGCTTCACAGTTTGCTTCTTCTGTAAATCTCTCCTCAATGGAGAGTTCTTTTGTGTGTAGAAATGTTCATAGACCTTGCACCAGGTTGCTAATAGATAGCTAATTTAATGTGAAGGAACCTATTTATTTTTATTACCTGGTATGGTTCTAAAATATAAAGAATCTGCATTTTTCTCCTTCAATAACAGTTTTGAAATTTGGGGCCATGAAAGTGATGAGAAAGAATTGAAGGAGTACTTAGAGAGTATGAAGGCCAGCAGAATGCTTTTGTTAGCTTGAATAGACACCTAGAGCAAGGGTCTCTGTAGAGTGGTAAAAGTAGCTGTGGGGTAGTCCCTCTAAAAAGGAGAGACTGTGCCCACCAGCCATGCTAGTAGGCCTTCCAGACTTCATTCTGTTCCTCTTTGCTCCTTGGATCCTATCCAGTGTGGATGAGCTGGGCTGCTTACTATATTAAACTGTGGGTTAGGATCTCTGTCTACTTTCTGAGTGTCTTCTCGGGCCCTTCAGGGCTTCTTATGACATGCTCTAAGCCAATGGTTTTTATTTTTTATCAACAGAAGCTTTTTCTAAACAAACTACAACTGGACACTTCAGAACATTAAACAGAAATGGAAGTGGCACTTCAGAATATAAAACAAATGCCAATGGATGCTTCCTCCTTGCCCCACCCCTACTCCTGCAGCACCGTGTGCCACTAGGGAGCTTTCCTTAATGCTTTCATAACAGGAGCATCTACTCACACCTCAAAGGAGTGCCCAGTGTCTGCTGTTTGTATCTAAGCAGAATATTTAATAGTTCAGCAAACTGCTATCTTCAGACATTAAATGTTTCAGGTTCTGTATTCATGTGGTACATGAAGAGAGCTTTTCTCTTTGTCAAGTGCCACTTAATCACTCTGACCCATTAGTACTTTGCTAGTACATGCTAATTGTCTGATCACATCTCTGTCAGGTTCATCGTGGGATCAGACCGTGCTATCTTCATGCTTCGTGATGGGAGCTATGCCTGGGAGATCAAGGACTTTTTGGTCAGTCAAGACAGATGTGCTGATGTCACTCTGGAGGGACAGGTATACCCTGGCAAAGGAGGAGGAAGCAAAGAGAAAAATAAGACAAAACAAGAAAAGGGTAAAAAGAAAAAGGAAGGAGATCCAAAACCTCGGGCTTCCAAGGAAGGCAATCGAGCTGGAAACAAACGAGAAGACCTTTAATGGAGCACCTGCATTCTAAGGAGCTGATAAGACACGGAGACCTTGCCATGTCATGGGCAGGACTGGGTGCGGGGAACTGCATATTGAATGACATCCTTATTTCTTCTAAAAAGGGTCTGCCACTTGATCAGTGTGTGGTCAGTATAAGAATTACTATTCTAAAGGCTTCCAGTATAAGGACAAAGTTTTTCTAATGATTGTGGACACTGACAGATTTATGTTTACTGTAAAATCACTTTCTGTGGAAACTTGACCTTGTTGCTTTTTCCTACATAAAGCTGGGGCATCATTGACTCCAAAGGTGCCATACCCTTTCATAGCATCTGCTCTGATCCGGTGACCTGATGTGTCCATGCTTCTGATTTTCTATCAGCCAGAAGACGGCAGGGTCAAATCAGACAAGTCATGAAAATACTTAGTTGAGTCAAACTGTTCATGCTGCAGTCATTATTTTCATTGCAGCAAAGGCAGAACGTGCTGTGGGAGCCAGATAGCCAGTTCTAGACACACAACTAGGAACCCAATCCACGCAGGAAATGCAGAGAACAGAAACAATGCCACTTGGAAATCCTAAGTAGTTATCTTTCTTTGACTGGGTTGCTCTCAGCAGTTGAAAAGAACTCTTGCTATCTGTCAGGTTTTTTTGTGGTTGTAAAGTAAGGAGAATCTGTTCTGTTTTCTTAGCTACAGAAGAATGAGGCTGGTGTAGAGGGCTTGTGTTCTGCTGACAGTTACGTGTATATGAGTTAGGACCAGCCAAGTCCTTTGCAGGGTGTGGCAGAAGACTAGACCTCATTGACAGTATTTCTAAACATTTTTCTTTGATAAAGTGCCTAAACTTATAGTTGATGTGCTACTGTTCATGTCTAGCTATTTTGCCATTCATATGTTGAAGCCTACTTGAAAGACGAGTTAGAATATTTATATACAGATATCATTTTTAAGAACTAAAATTCTTTGGGGGGAAAAGCCTCAATTGTGATTTTAAGGAATTTAAACTAGCACATATACATCCTTAGAAATGTTACTGTTAAAGATTGGTACAAAGTGCAAAATATATCTCTACCCTGCTGCCAGTAACTTGTCCCCAGTGGAGCTACTGTTAATTTGTTTCCAAAAAGAAAAAGTATGTTTCCCAGCTTGTATGTGTATGTGTGTGTGTTTTGGCCTTATAATATCTGTTTACACTTGTTTTGGTAACTGCTCACATTTCCCTCTAATGAACCACACCTTCTGCCTTCTTAGTTCTCAGTGGTGGAGACACAGTTGTCCTGCAGTCACTTAACCTCCAGGTCATTCCCCCTGCCACTTTCCCCAAACCTGTGTGATCTAGGCCTTGGCATTAGTCCCAGTCAGAGTTAGTCCCAATCGAGTTTGCTTGAGTACCTTCAGGAAAATTTGTTTTTCACTCATTTGAAGTTAAGATGTGAGACTGGAGCAGCTGCAGCCCTTTTAATATTTGAGTATGGAGTCAGCATAGTCATCCTGCAGAGGTGGACACATACCCTATTATCTAAGTTTCTAACTCCAGCCAGGTCTGAAACAATCCCTTTCCCTAGTTTTTTTTTTTTTTTCTGTTTTTACTTAGGACAGTTTGTTAGAGTTTTATAATATGTAGCCATAATGGTCCATATGTTGATAAGACAATTATTTTAATTGAACAAGGGTGAACAAAGGCTTCACACTGCCCTCCACACGGAAGCCTTTTCAATCAGAATGTACAGCTGTATTCAACTGCTTCCCATGCTGTGTACAAAAGCCACTTCTGCCAGGGTCTATTAAGCATGCCTTATATGCTAGGCAATATTAGGTGCCAAAGACAGGGTAGGCACAGCCCCTGCTATCATGGAACTCAGTGATTTGCTAGATTAAAACGAATATTAATAGACAAAGTAAAATGGTAACTGCTGGAAGTATGAAATAAAAGAGTGCTAAGAGCAAGATGGGCACATTTTACTTTGTTGGGATGGTCAGAGAGGCCCTGCTGAGGGCAGGAGGAAGAAAAGAGGAAAATAGGCAGAAGAATCTGCCTTGTGTCCAGAAGTAGCAGAAAAGGGGACTTCAGAAACATCAGAGGCTGAGGCACAGTGCAGGATTGGGCTTGAGGAGTAAGGGGCACACAGTGTCCTATAGGAATTTGAAATGCCCTGCAGTTTGTACTGAGTGCACAGAACTGATTAGAAGAGGCACCAATGGGAATAAGGCGTTTTAGTAGTTCAAGGCATAGTCTGTAGTGGCTCAAGTAAGCAGGGTGTTAGTGAGGTGTGATCACCACTCACCTGCACAGTTCCTGTTGAGGGATACCCAGATTTCCAGTGTCTGGCTAGTATAGTCAATACTATGGTGAACTTTTTTTTTTAAGTACAGGGAATTGGACTTGGGCACTCAACCACCGAGCCACATCCCCAGCCCTATTTTGTATTATATTTCTAAACAGGGTCTCACTGAGTTGCTTGGTGCCTTGCTGTTACTGAGGCTGGCTTTGAACGAGATTGTCCTGTCTCAGCCTCCTGAGTATCTGGAATTACAGGTGTGTGCCACTGCTCCTGATATGTGGTGAACATTTTTATGTACAATATTTTTGTGAACTTTTGTTTATATCTGAAAAAAATTCCTAACAGTGGAATAATCAAACCAAACAAAATTTTAGCATTTTGTGTATATGTTGCCAAATTGCTTTCCCAAGTGGTTTTGTCAATATAGTCTCACCAGCAGTAGATCTGCCCTTGCCAGCTCTGGACATCACATCTAAACAATTTTATAAATTTAAAAACCATGTTTTGTCTATTCTCTAGCCACCATACTGGAGAGGCGCCGTTCCGAGTCCACATGTCTATACCCTGGAGCCACCTGTTTCAGCCCCAGCTGTGTGAGTCTTTCCAGTGTAAGCACCAGACATGAGTGAGATTTCAATATTTTAAACCCCAGTCTTCCCCAGCTAACACCCAGGGGAGCAAGATGAACTGTCCTGCAAAGCTTTAACCAGTCTGCAGACTGAAGAACAAAGAAAGTTGCTTTTTATGGAAGTGGGGTACTGGGGATTGAACCCAGGAGTGCTCTGCCACTGAGCTACATCCCCTGCCCTTTTTTATTTTGAGATAAGGTCTTGCTAAGTTGCCAAAGCTGATCTCAAACTTGCAGTCCTCCTGCCTTAGCTGCCAGAGTTGCTGGGATGCAGGCATGCATCACTGCACATAGCAAAACCGTCATGTTTTTAACAAGTTGTCTTCCTCTTCATGTTGTAGTATCTATTGATAGAATACATTTGGATGATATCTTTAGAATTAACAACCAGGAGCATGACAATTTGTTACAGTGTATATATCCTTCCACCTTTCTTCATCCTCAGGCCGTCTGATTTTTGATGTTTATACTGTAGTATTTAATATATTTGATAGTTTCCTTTATAATGTCAGATGTCTTTTTCTTTCTTTAATATATATATTAAATATATATTACTTATTTATATTAACTATATTAAATATTGTTAATATATATATATTAACTACTAGTCAAGGTGAAGGAACTCATGAACTTCCTCCTGTCTCCCTGGTTTTTGTTTAACAGTGTTACTTGTACACTGATGAGGTCTATATCTTGTCTCCTTCTGTAACCATTATGTCCATCTTTATTCTTTAAAGAACAATGTGGAGAGTTTCACATTTCTGGGTTTTGCTTTTTTTGCCAGCACTTCAGACACTGTTCCATTGGAGAGGTCTGAGGCCACCCTTGTCTTTCCTCTTTTTATCAGATTCTGGAAATTTCTCTGCTTTCTTAAAATTCAGTAATTTTGTTAGGAATTGCCTTCATGTCAATTTTTCTGAATTATTTTTCTTTTAATCCTCTCAGAACATGATAGATCAGTTCTAATTGATTCAACTATTTTTTTTCTTTCTCATTAGTTTGAAAAGATGTATTTTCTATTGTTATTTTTAGTTTTGTGTTGGTATTTTGGGTACCAATTTGTTTACTTAACTCTGAAATGATTTTTTTTCCAAATCCCATTTAATTTTTGTCTCATCTTTGAGCTAATTTTTTTGTAATTCAAGTTTTTGTTCTATAATTAAAAAATGACTTTGATTTATGTATTTTTGCCACAAGATACTATTTATTTATATATGCATCCTATATTCTTTTGTTGTTGCTTTCTAGTTCCAAAATGCTTGGCTAGATGCCACATCTTTTTTTTTTTTTTTTTCCTCTATTACTGCTTATTAGGCATGACTTTTCTCAGAGCTTGATCCACATAGGTGTGCTCCGTGACTCTCCTCCCTCCTTCTCTGAGCATTGTTTCCTTTCCTGGAAGCTGAAATTTGAGAGCTGAATGTTGCTTTCTCATAACTGAACAAGAAAGAGAGAGGAGTTCAGACCAGATGCTGTGAGAGGTAGTATAGTCTTTAGCCTCCTATACCTTGAGAAGTTGTAGCCTCTTGCCTCCTATACTTTTAGAATGCATTCAGGTTCTCCTCCATGATGGGGAGGGAGCAGTAACTGATCCCAAGAACGTTGATTGCCGAGATTTTAGAAAGTGCCAACCCAACTTCTACCTTGGATCCTTCTTAAATCCTTCACTCCCCTCACAGAAGGGAAGGCTGGGGTGTTTTTTGCTTCACTCATCTCTCTGTAGTAAGCATCTCTACTTCTTCCATGCAGAATGTGGCTTGCACCAGGGCAGACTTGGGTGTGGGAAGCACAGCACTTGCCATAGTCACAGAATTTTTTTTTCCAGTGGTACTAGGGATTGAACCCAGGACCTCAAGCATGCTGGGCAAGTGCTCAACTACTAAGCCACATCCTTAGCCCTTTTTATTTTATTTTATTTTATTTTGATACAGGCTCTCACTAAGTTGCCCAGTTTGGCCTTGAACTTGGGATCCCATTGTATCAGCTGGGATTAAAAACCTGGCACCTTAGGCACACAACTTAAGGGTCACAAAACTCAGTAATCAAGACAAATAATATTTTAATGCAATATTTTAAAAATCAAAAAACATAATGAACAGAAGATGAGCATTTTAAATAAAGACCAAATCCAACAAACTGGATTTAGGGTGAGGCTGTGAGATGAGGCAAGGAGGGACAGGATTGATCTATCCTAAACCAGTAATCTTTGGTTGATTCTTAGGTTTTTATGTTTAAAACTTTGAATTCCATCCATATGCAGTGGCACATGCCAATAATTTGGGAGGCTGAGGCTGGAGGATGACGCGTTTTTTTGTTTTGTTTTTTTTGGGGGGGTACCAGGTATTGAACTCTGGAGCACTAGACTATTAAGCCACAGCCCCTGCCCTATTTTTGTATTTTATTTAGAGACAGGGTCTCACTGAGTTGCTTAGCACCTTGCTTTTGCTGAGGCTAGCTTTGAACTTGCAATCTTCTGCCTCAGCCTCCCAACTGCTGGGATTACAGGAGTGGACCCCTGTGCCTACCAGATGGCAAGTTTTGAGGCCAGCCTCAAAAAAAACAAAACAAAACAAAACAGTGTTTTAATTCTACTCCAGTATTGCCAGCAACTCTTGGGACACTGAGACAGGAGGATAACACACACAACAAAAGCTTTATATATATATATGTATATACACACACACACACACACACACACACACACACATACATACATACATGCCAGGTGCAATGGGGCGCACCAGTAATCCCAGCAGCTCAGGAGGCTGAGATAGGAGAATGGTAAAGTCAAAGCCAGCCTCAGCAAAAGCAAGGCACTAAGCAACTCAGTGAGACCCTATCTCGAAATAAAATACAAAATAGGGCTGGGGATGTGACTTAGTTGTACAGCATTAATGGGTTAAATCCCCAGTACTACAAAAATAAAAATGAAAGTTGAAGTTCCCTGAATTCCCAGGTTCTTACTTTTAGGATAAAAGCTGAAATCTTGATTTTTATTAAATTAGTACCATCACAGTAATGTTAAAAGTTTTCTTGTAAAAAAGAACAAATTCCCTCTACTAATGCACCATCCTAGCTACTCATACAGTTTTTATTTCACCAGATTTCCTTTCAGATCATTGACTGAGTGCAGCATTCACGTCCTAGTAGAAATAGCTTAAGGATTGTTGAAAGACTGGCAGTGAGAGGGCTCTGGCTAAAGGTTTTAAGGAGGGGTCATAGCCTTTCCAGTGCTTCACAATGTGTGTGCTTTTTTTTTTTTTTTTAAATCAGATATAAAGATTAACTTGGCTGTGAAATCTGATGGCAAATGCTTTCCTATGGCAAAGCTGTGAGGTGTCTTGAGATGTGTTGGGGGAGGCTAGAGCTCAGAGCCAGTGTCCTTTCCAGCGTAAAGGTCCAGCTCACCTAAACTTGTCACAGAACCCTGTAGGTTTGAAGCTGAGAGAAATCCCCTCCTCGACCAGATTCTGTTCAGGCTTCTTTAAGTCCACCAGCCCCCCACCTTTAGTCTGTCTTTGGCTAGGTTAGCTTTCGAAAGAATGCTGTCAAGTCAATTTATCAAGAACTTGATCTCTGATTAAGTATTCTACCCCCCTGGTGATGTCTGATCATCCTGGCCTGCCTTCTGCAAGAATTCTGTAAAATTTGTTTATCCAGAATCCCTCTCATCCTTGATGTTTCCTCTCAGTCATTTTTCATCCACTGATCCCACCCTTGGCTATCAATTCCTACTGTCCCTGCAGTATTTGGAATTGAGCCCAGTTCTGCACTGAGGTATCTTTTCCCTTATTGCACTCATTACTGATTAGAAACCCATTTTTGTGACTATAACTACTGTCAGACTCTGGTTTTCTTTGACAAAGTCTCTGAAAGAAAAAGTTCCAAAGAACAGCTGAGTTGGCTATACAAGAAGTTGGAGCTGGGGAGGAGGCAGTTGATGGTAATCACAACAGTGCACATGTTTTAGACTTCAGTTTACACATGCTTGCCTTCATTCACTGCAAGTGAGCCTCACACCTGCCCTGCAGTGGAAGTGTTGGTACCTCTAGTTCTCAGATCTGAAAGGGGAGGGGAATTGATTGTGACCCCCACAGCCAGAGAATGTTCTGTCTCTTTTGTAAGATCGCTGTCAAGTGAAGTGGAGTTTTGAGTTCTCTCTACAGTCCAAAAAAACAAGGCATAGCTTGGGAAGGTGACTTGGCTACAATCCTTCTCCAAAGCCATCACTCTAAAGTGCTCATTTTCTTCCCATAAAGGGAAGTCAATTTGAAAGTTAAGGGATGCTCCCACTAGAGGGCAGCAGAGACCCACAGTGCTGCTTGGCTTTCCCATCACTGCTGATTTCTCCACTGCTCCTTAGGTGAGAATTCTTCAGCTATTATTTTAATTAACATGTTGCTCAAATGCATTTGCAAAATATATGAATATCTGTCTACACCTCTATCACTGAATTTCTTTGAAGCCTAAAGTCTTATCTAATCCTGTGTGCTATTCGAACATATTCCATCCACACAGCAACCCTGTAGTCGATACTGTATTATCATCTCTGGTTTACACACAGGGAAACCAAGGTTCAGAGAAGTTAAGTATTTTTCCCAAAGTCCCACTGTAAGGAAGTGACAGAACCAGAGTTTAAACCAGGTAGTCCAGCTCCAAAGTTTATACCTCCCACACCCCTGCCCATCTCCTGAGTGCCTTGGAAGAGAGCAGCTTGTATCCTGTGGACCTCTTTGCAAGAACCACCTGCCCGGTAGCTTGAGAACTCCCCAGTTAAGGTCTGAATGCCCATAAATTCCAGGAATTGTTTGGGTCATAGGGATAAAGACGAGCAGGGGAGGCAAGTTTCTACCCTCCTTACATTTACTGACTATGCATTAGAAGACCCTCAGTGTCATGCACTGTGTAATGCACCTACTTTGTCAGGCACTAGACACTCTTACCTAACTGTGCATGTTACTACTGTATATAGTCTCCACATCCTTCCTTTCCTTGCTATAAACCCCACAAGGTTGGTGTCAGTTAACATATAATATGAAGCCCATGAGAGCAGTTTTGGGGCTTTATTCACTGTATCATCCTGGGCAAGTTACTTAAGTGCCTAGGACTGTAGGCACTAAAAGAATTTTCCACCTCATAGAGGTGTATGATGTGAAGCACTTATTATTGTCATGTATTACTTCTAATTTTTTCTGTGTGTTTTATGTTGCAGATGAGTAAATAGACTCAGGTTAAGCCTTGTCAAGATCACAGCTAGGCAGAGGCAGGTTGGTGTCCCCTCTGGGCTATTCTCTGGAGGGGCAATATTCTTTTTATTGTAGCACAACACCCCCAAGGTTGGGGCTGGGATGGAAGTCTACATGGGCCAGAGATTTTCTAGAACAACAGCCACCTGCCCAGCATAGTGCATATAAAAACAGACCTGGCCACTTCCTTTTGGACATAAATACCTGCCATTCCCATTTCTACCACTGATATGCTCTACCCTCAAGTGCTTGCATGACTGAGGACATTCCTGTCAGGGGAGACAGCCTTATCCTGACAGGCAGACCATGGAGCAGGGTTGCCAACATCCAGGATGGGTTGCAGGAGTCTGCAGGCTGATTGTGTTGTTTGCTGAGACAATGAAATTTCCGGTGGGCAGATTTCAAGAGGTCCCACCCAAGTGTCACAAGCAAGAAACTGGATAGCCCTTTCCACTTGGTCCAGTGTGGGGAAATTTGAGTTTGTTGCCAGGGCCTCTTGGCAAATTCTCCATAGGCCTTGTTGAGTCCACTTAAAGCTGAACTTTCTGTCAAACTCGGAGTCAATAGCCCAGGAGGAGTTTGAAGTCTTAGCACATAATTCCTGGCAAATTTAAAGCAAGATGTTTTTCTGAAGAATTGTGCTGAGGTTTCCAAGGTGGAGTTTCAGAACCAATGACTGGACCCTAAGTGGGGTAGTACTGAGCAAGGAGGTCTATAGCTGGTGGAATGTCAGGAATCCCAGGACATCTGGTCTGTTTTGCATCTGCTGCTTCAACCAGTCTGCATTCTTCCTGTGGGGAGTGAGGGCTCCAGTGATAGGCCTGGAAACAGGAGACCTCTTTGATCCTTGTCTCCCACCTCTGCCTGAAGTAGGATGACTTTGAGTGCTATACTTCATGTTCTGGAGCCTTGCCTTTCCATAAACAAGGGTGACAAGTGCTACCAGACCTGGAATTCACATCTTGGAAGAAACAGGGCAAGAGGGACTCATACTCCAATACAAAGGAAGGCCCTGATTTCCCTGAGACAGAAACTTCCTTGCAAATCTGAGATCTTTGTTCTGTTAGAACTCCTGCATGGTAAGGACTGAGTTTTGGGTCTTTGGTTCCAACCTCTTACATATTTCAATTTATTACCCCTCTGAACCAGAATGTGTCATCCCTCTGGGCCTCATCTAGAATAGGCCAGCATTACCCAAAGGAATTTACTCAGGGAACAACCCACCAGGGAGGATTCTGGTACTTTAAGCCAGTTCTTTGTGCTTTTGAGATACAAAAGCAAGGTTGCCTAAGGTGATCCATACCTATAATCCTAGCCACTTGGGAGGCTAAAGCAGGAAGATAGCAAGTCCCAGACCAGACTAGATAACTTTGGAGACCTTTTCTCCAAATAAAAAATAAAAAGGTAGAGCACCACTGGGTTCAATCCCCAATACCAAAACCAAACAAAACCAAAGGGGCAAGAGGTACAAAGCCTCTGGGCAGAGAGGCAGTGGGCTATGGAGAACAGGACTGAATTAGCTAAACACACGAATGTGTATACAACGACAGCTATGAGAAGTGCTAAGCTTCTAACAGAGGCATTTTCCTAGGGAGGCTAGAGAAAAACTTCCAAGAGCAGGTGGCTACTAAGCTGAGATTATAGCAGGCATGAGTGAATACAGGGTGGGTGGCCTGGAGAGCCAGGCAGTGGCACCACAAGGACAGGAGTTCGTCCTTGGCTATAGCTGAGATGCTTGCATGCACAGTGCAAACACTGATGTGGGGAATGTTAGGCCATTGGGCTTTCAAGTCTTTTTTAGTCTGTAATATTCTGTGACTTCCAGATCTGAGCCCCTGCAAGTGCTCTGAAAAAGAGCAGTTTGTTTTTTCAAATCCTTTGTAAGTATTATTTCAGTGAAGTATAATAGCTCTTCAAATGAGACCATATTTTACTTAGTCATCTCATACATTTTCTAGTTGAATACTGATGAAACCCCTTCCTCCTTTACTGTCTGTTTTTGTAAGGACCTATTATTATAAGTCTTTTTCTATCAGGAATCCCTTTACCTGGGCTTGCAGCCATCTGAGACAGGGCCCCTTCAATTGTGCTCACACAGGAGCTGTGCTCGGCTCATGGGAAGCCTCGTGCATCCTGCCCAGCCAAAAGGTGGAAGTGAGCTGGGTACTTAGGAGGCTGAGGCAGGAGGATCACAAAGTCGAGACCATCCTGGGAAACTTGGCAAAATAAAAAGGGAGAGGGAAATGACTCAGGGGTAAAGTACCCCTGGCTTTAATCCCCAGTATTAAAAAAAAAAAAAATGGAAGTGCATTTACCCAGAGGATGCCCTTCATCCTCCCAAGCTCTGTGGATAACTTCAACCTCTGTTTACTTTGGTCACCCCTAGATGAGAAGAACTTTCTGCCTCTGCCCTCACAAATAGCAAGCAGCCATGACAGGCTATCCATAGAACTCTCATACCCAGCTGATAGTGTGGGGTGGCCTGTGAGTTTGGGGAGCTCAGTAATAATCCAGCTCGATGTTACATGTCAATTCCTTCTTTCTGCAAAACCCCTAGGGGAGGTCCCTTGGAGCCTCTCAGTTGGTTATTGAGATATAGCCGTGGAAAGAGAGGAAAGCCATAGCACATTCATTTTACTCTTCTGCATTTCCTTCAGGGCCTCTCCCCTCCTGTGATTCGAGGCTTCTCCTTCCTTTGTTGGAATTAGGTGATAGAGCTCAGGATATTCCCTTCTAAATCAAGTCCTTCTGTCCTTCTAGGATGTGGCTAGCAGCTCTTATTCAGAATGAGGGAGCAGTTGTCATCTGGAGTCCTTAACATTCCATGTACTGACATTCTGAGGTCCTTGGCAAGGACAGTATTGCTGACAACTTCATCACATTGGGAGGTGACAATTACAAGGCCTCTGTAGATTCTTTGGACTGCTAAAGGGTAAGTGACCAGTGAAGATAATTATTTGTTTAGATGGATGAGTGTTTGGATACATAAAGAAATGACTGAGGCAAAAATTTTTATTGGTGGGAGAGAGCAGCAATGCAACGATTGCTAAGAAGAGGAGAATTGGGATGTTTCAAAAGCAGCCTGCCCCAGGAATTTTCTTAAGGTGTTTGTATGGGGGCATAGGAGGGTGGAGGAACTTTTGGCAATGGCAACGATGACTAATGTCCTGTTGTGCCATATTCCAAAATTCTCGGCAAAATACTTCTACAAATAACTTCCTGATGTTCATGTAATTTGGGGAAACCGAAAAGAAAAGAGGCTGTCTGTAATGGTTAATTTTATGTGTCAACTTGACTGGGCCACAGAATGCCCAGGCATTTGGTCAAATATATTTCTGGATGTGTCTGTGCTACAGTCTGGTTCTTGAATCTCCTCCAAGGGCCCATGTGCTAAAGGTTTGATCACCAGCCTGTGGCTCTATTGGGAGGTGGTGGAACCTGTAAGAAGTGGGGCCTAGTGGGAGAAAGTTAGGTCATCAAGAGTGTGACCTTGAAGGGAATATTGGGATATTAGGACCCTAGCCCCTCATCTCCTTTTTTTTAGGGGGTGGGGGTCCTAGGGATTGAACAATTGAACCTAGGGTGCTTTACCACTGAGCTACATGCCCAGCCTTTTTAATTTTTTATTTTGAGACAGGGTCTTGTTAAATTAGTGGGGCTGGCCTCACTTGAGATCCTTATGCCTCAGCCTCTTGAGTTGCTAGGAAGGCACATACCATGCACCCAGCACATATCATGCACCCAGTATTTAATCCTTAAAAGAGAAAAATTGGTCTCTAAAACCTGATGACATTCAAGTCATCAGTGTTCATAGTAATAAGCCTTTAGGCTACAAATAATGTAATTTTATGTTCTCAACTGAATCATAGAGGCTTGATTTTTTGGTAAAGAAACTGTTTTTGTATTATTGTGACTGCAGTGGTTGAACTCCCTTCTGCTAACTCAATACCCACATGCCACCAACTCATTTTTATGTTTTCTTGTGGTAACCTTTCTACTCTCTAAAAAAAGACTATATTTTGTTTGCTTTTATCTTCTGCAGTGGCTTGGAAAGGAGATATCTTATTTTAAATGGAATTAATTATCATCATTAGTTTTTGTTTTCATTCTTAAACCTATAATTACAAACCTGTCAATGTCTAGAACAACATAACACATCCCCCATGAAGATGGAGAATTTAACACAACCTCTTCCTCTGCCTACTCATTCTTTGCACCAGTCTTATTGTATTCTGGTTTAAAAGTTGTTTGTTTGGGGGCTGGGGTTGTAGCTCAGTGGTAGAATGCTTGCCTAGCATGTGTGAGGCACTGGGTTTGATTCTCAGCACTGCATATGAACAAACAGAAAGTAATAAAGGTCTATCATGAAATTAAAAAAAATATTTTAAAAAAAGAAGAAAAAAGCTGTTTGTTTGTTTTGATACTCGGGATTGAACCCAGGGATGCTTAACCACTGAGCCACATCCCCAGCCTTTCTTGTTTTTATTTTGAGACAGAGTCTCATTAAATTGCTTGAATTTACAATTCTCATGCCTCAGCCTTCCAAGCTGAGGATTACAGGCATGAACTAACATACCTACTTCATGAATTTTCTCTATTGTGTTTGATGCTCAGTGTTTTCTGTGAGGAACAGTGAGCCTTTCCTCCCTCAGCCTATCACCCCACTTTCTTTCCATCCCTTCCTTATCCCAGTGCAGCCCTGAAGATGTGGATTCTCTTCCAGTTGCCTCTCCCCCCATATCTTCCTCCTTTCCCTGCCATTGGGGGAAAACCTGCCCAACTTCCCTAAGCACCTCCATGGTAAGGACTGGGGTGGGTCACAGGGCAGCCATTAGGGTCCTGGCTTCACTTGTCGCAGCAGGAGGAAGGAGACAATCTGCTTTAAACAGACTGAACACATTTGTAGAACATGGTTCTGCCAGATGTGGGGTGATCTGCTGGCCCCTACTTTGTAAGAACTATGGTCTGGCAGATGGGGTGAGTGACAGTCATTATCAGGGTACATGATATAACCACACTGAGCCTTGGATCCTGGGGGAGAAAAGAGGAAGGTGCCATGGGAACAGGGGTGGGTCATAGAAGGCCATGTGTGGAACTAAGCCTTGCAGAGTGACAGGCATAAGCCTAATGTCGGGGAGAGAAAGGAAAGGGTGTGCTATTGGAAGGGGACACCAAGGTCCTTGAGCTGTGGGAGATGGTGAGAATTCTGTGTGCCTGGGGCTCAGCTGGGGACAGGAGGATAGGGGGTGACAGGATGAAGATGCAGACATTCATCACTTAGGGGCACCTGTATGCTCAACTGAGACTGGTTGGATGTGGGAACTTAATTCCCCTAAGCTCCTGCTTCTGACTTCATATCAATGAATTGAAGCAGATGTTCTTAACCCTAACTTTCCTGGCCTCTCAATGTCAACTCAGGTTCTCTCTGAGTGAACCCTCACGGTGCTTCCCTCCAGGCTGCAGGGAAGGGCCCCACCCGCTTCCTATGGCTTGTCCAGTGCCTTTGCTCCAAAAGCCCCGCTGCTGCCTCAGCTAGGAATGTCCCTCTGGCCCTTTTGCACTTAGTTCATTCTACTCATTCTGCAAAAGCTCCTCTGCTGCCTTTTGGCCTCCGTTCCTGTCCTTGTAGGCTGGCTGGGTAGATCTCCTCCTCTAGTCGGTCTCAATGTGGACGGGGCTAGATGCTCACCTAATGCCTTCTATGGTGACTCTGGTGGGCATCTAGTAACTACCACAGGAGCAAACAGTGAAGTGCCCCAACGCTTCTACCTCTCTCCCTCTGTTGTCTACGTATTGCTTCTTTTGCTCTGTGTCTAGCTTGTTACAGGGTCCCATTGCCCATCCTCCCAAATGCCTTTGCCATTGCATCAATAGGTATTTGTGGACTATGTCTTCATACACAGTCATGTTTATGGCTGACCATTCCCCATCATCAAATCTAGTAGTCCCTAAAACAAGCCCTTTTTCTAGCCCAACCCACTGACATACCTTCCCTAGTATTGCTTCTGAATTTATACCCATGTGTCCCCAGTGGTCTATTCTTCTTCCCTGGTCATCCCTGAGTCATAGGTCGACTCCTGTCCCACCTCAGAGCATGAACCTTCCCTGACCACTCCAGGTGATGGTGATTCCTCTCTGTATAGAGGATTTGGCCATGCCAGGTACATCTGCACACGCCTGTAATCCCAGTGACTCAGGAGGCTCAAGCAAGAGGATCACAAGTTAGAAGTCAGCCTCAGCAATTTAGCAAGACCCTTTCTCAATTAAGTCTAGGAATGTAATTAATGGGTAGAGAGCCCCAGGTTCAATCCCCAGTACCAAAGTCAAAAACAAAACAAGAACTTGGCATGTCTCCCACTGACCATGTCACTGTATATTCTCCATGGAGGGTCATTTCACATCCCCCTTTGTGCAGAATGCCTGAATCGATGCTCAAATCAAAAACATTTGTTGAGATTGGAGCAAAATGAGTTAAAAAAAATTCACATTATTGGGGAGAATTATTTTAGATAATAGAACTCTTGTCTGAATTTTAGTAAGATGGATGTGAAAAAGAAAATATTTAATCAAATGGACCTTTTTATATAGGTTTAAGAGGAAACTGAGCCCATGAGAGATGAAGGGAATTGGTTAAACTGATACTTCTATCTTAATTAAGGAATCTACATAGAAATTAAATCCTTGAAGATGAGACTGTCACTCTCCACTCTTTCTAAAACTTGCTAATCTAGGAATTGTGAAAATGTTTTTGCTTCTGATTTGGTTATGAGGGTTTCATTTTATTTTGCAAAATGTTCTAAAATAAAAGTTTGCATAAACTCTATTAAACCTGAAATAATGATAAAAGTTTAAAAAAAGAAAAAACATTTGTTGAATGTTTACTGATGTGATCTCTATCTCCCGGTAAAGTTTTGTTTTGTTTTGTTTTGATACTGGGGATTGAACCCAGGGTTCTTTACCACTGAGCGGCGTCTCCAGTCCTTTTCTTTTTTTATTTTGAGACAGAGCCTTGCTAAGTGGTGGAGGCAGAGGCCTGAAATTTGGATCCTCCTAACTTAGCCTCCTGAGTAGCTGGGATTGCAGGTGTGCTCCACTGCACCTGGGTGGTAAAGCTTCTTGAAGGCAGCAGTCATGTATTCTCCACTTTATGGTTGATATCATATCCCCAAAACTGGTGTTCCAGATGTATTTGTTTACTGACAGCTTGATACAACCAACCTGCCCCTCTAAGTGGATTGAATACACACAAGCACACACACACTTGCACACATTGGAAGCATAGATCTTTTAAAGATCCCAGTATATATGTATGTCCCAGTAACTCTCTGGAAATGATCAGGAGAACATTCAATGATGATGGGAAAGTTTTCTATTGGCACACAATATGGCAGCACCAGCCATGTGTGGCTGTGGAACACCCACATTGGAGCTGATATAAATGAAGAACTGGATGCTTAATTGTATTTAATTTAAATTAATTAAATGTAGGCAGCTGCTGTGGATGGTACAGCTCTAGATTAACTCACCCTGTTTCAGCCTCTGCCCAACACTTGACCCTCTCCAGCCCCCTGATCCCCTCCCACCTCTTCCCAGGGGTGCCCTCCACCTGCTCCTGCCCTGCTTGATTTGGACCTATTTTTCCACCTTAACTTCCATGTTCTCAGACATTGTGTTTGACCTCTGGCCAAATAGTGCCTGGGAGGAAGAGACGTCCTGCTTCTGGTCCACACTCTAATGTCCCCTCCAGCCTGGCTTCCCCAGTGGGAGAGGGGTAGAACCAACAGCCTACTAATGGCTTAGGAGCACGGAGGATATAGAACATTCTGGACTTGACTGTTCACACAAATGATGTATCTCAGTGGATCATCTTCACCTGCTCTTAGAAGTGCCCTCTTGGGATGAGAGCAAGGTAAGGGTTTGATATATAGGTAG